AGGAAAGAATTGTATTCTTTCAAATTCTTGGACAGCTGGACTTCGTCCCCATTTTTGTTCTCCACCTTCTCCTCCACATTGCTTGCCTTGAGCTGCGAGTCACATACGTCGATGTCTGACATGGCAGCCTCGATGAATTTCTTGGCGTCCGCGTAAGCATTCCCCAGGACAGCATTAATGGCATCCTCAATCAAGTCATCGAGCGGGTTGTATTGGTCGAGGCAATCGCTAAGTGCCGACTGGAGGAGAGGGGACACGTCCGAAAGCGTGACTTTCTTGATGCCGGCTGTTAGGTTAACCGCTTGGTCCTCAACGAACCTGGCCGGATTTTATTAAAAAAAAAAAAAAAGGGTCATGAACACAAAACTCCCACCAGTTCTGTTGCAAATTTACATTTTGCCCAATACAACACAGGCCTGTTTGAACCAGAAAGTACAATCATAAAATAAACTAAGAGTAATCTAGCATTTATGCAGCTAAACTCTGAAACTGCAAAAAATTAGAGATTCAATTTGATCCCTAAATTAAGAACCCTAATTCCCAAATTCAGCACATGCCTTTTGAATTAAAGAGTACAATCAAAATTCAAACTACAGGTAAATTTAGCATTTGTGCAATTAAACTCTGACATTGGAAAGATGAGAGAAATTCAATTTGATCCCTAAATGAAGAACACTAATTATCCAATTTAGCACAGGCCTGTTCGAATTAGAGAGTACAATCAAAATACAAACTACAACTAACCTAGCACAGGCATCAGAGTACAATCAAAATGCAAACTAAAACTAATGTAGTATTTATGCAATTAAAATCTGAAATTGCAAAAATGAGAGAGAGATTTAATTTGATCCCCCAATGGAGAATCCAATTGTACTTGAGAGTGAAGAAAGCGAGGCCGTTGGCGTCAGCCTTCTGGTGCGGCGGCGCTGATTGCAGGGTGGAGATGCACTCCTTCTCGAATCCTCCAACGCCGTGGCATGCGGTTTGGATCAGAGGATCGCCGGAAACAACTGCTAGCTGGTTGCCGAAGCTGAGCTGGAGGCGGAGGAGGGGGAGACTGGCGGTGGCGCCGGCGAGGCTGAAGCCAACGACGACGGCCGATAGGAAAATCAACAACCTGCGCGACATGGTGGCTGGGAATGAATATCTTCTGTTATTCCTTGTACGATGAGGAAGACGATGGAATGAGTGACGAAGGACATGGGTTTTCTTCTCCAAATTGGGGGATTTTTGGCTTGACATTCAGTGGCGGGAAATTGTCGGGTCTCCATGAAAACAGGGCTACACATCAAGAAACGGTTGTGAGTGGAGTAAGCTGAGCCGCTAAGAATATAGAGCTTCTCCTACCAAACACGCAAAAATTGCATTTTGGCCCATTTATATTTTAGGATAGGATGGTGCAAATATGTCTGTTTTACCATTTATCTTGTATTTTTTTGTTTACTTATCATACTTTTTTTCTATTTATTAGTTTTTTTTTTTTTTTCACATAAGTAATAATGTTTTATCTCCAATTTATATTTCTATTTATCTTAACTTGTCACAATAAAATAATATTAAAAAATATAAAATACACACAAATAAAATAAAATATTTATATACGATGTGCAAAGCCTATAATAGATTTAATCATAAAATTATGTAAGTATTTGTAAAATAATAAAATATTTCTAGAATATTCCTAAAAAGGTTAGAATTAATTTGTGAACGGTTTAAGAAAATATTGATAATAAATTCAAATAATATAACCTTATAAAATATTATAATTTAAAATAATAAGTTATGTAATTTATTATTAACTGGAAAAATATGTATTCAATATTTTTTATAAATACATATTATTAGTTTACAATTAATTTATTGTTTTGCAATCGAATATAAAATAATAAGGAGTCTAATTAATAAAATTGTTAAAAGTATGTAGGTACTATTGAAAAGTTGTAAAGTTGATGTGGATGAAAATACTTTGAAAGTATTCTTTTTGGTTTAATAATGAGTTTTTCAGTTGAAAATGAATTATTGTTGATATAATAGTTATTGGTAAATGAATTTTTCGATTAGAGACGGTCATGTTTTGGACTTGTAACTAGAGTTAATCTAACTAGCTATTCGTAACATAGCTCAACTCGTGAAAACTCAAGTTTCACTTGTTCAATTTCAATGAACCGAGCTTGAACAATTAGTCGATGTAGTTTATTAAACAAGACGAGCCTAGCTCATTAGCAAACAGCTCATTTATTTTTCTTTTGGTTATAGATATTGAACAAACTCTAGCTCGAAAACAAAGTGTTCAGCTCGAATAATACTTCTACTTAGAACTTAGGATCCGTTTGCTCGCCCTTCAGACTTAGAACTTAGGATCCGTTTGCTCGCCTTTAATTGATCTGAAATATGTTTAGTTGCTAGTTATAGATGGTTATGAATAGGAGTGCAAAATATTGGTTAACCGAGCCGGAACGACAGAAATCGAAATCGAATATTTTTTATTTTCGGTTTTCATTTTTTTTGACATTTCGGGTTTCGGTTCGGTTTTGGTAATAGTGATCGGTTAACCAAACCGAACCCCAAACCGATTTATACGCATAGGAGCTGGTTCACATAAAAACTAATTCTAGTGTGAGAACCGTGAAAACCGTATTTGATGCTATTTACAATTATTTATAATGCTATTTTTAATATTACATGGTGCTGCTATCATTTTCACAATTTCTAATATAAATTGTGTTGCTATTTTTAATATAATACATTTGGGGTTAAAAATTGCACTAAAATAAAATCAATCATAGCACAACATACAGTTAAAAGTAGCGATTCTCTAAATTCTCACACTAAAACTTAGTTCTCATTTGAACCACATCTTTGAAAATGATAAAGAATCATTTTTTTTTTTTTTTTT